TTGGCTGTTTAACACTGCAATATTCCAACAATATGATGGCGGTCTGTAAATAATGGAGCCTGACTGATACATGAGGGTATGTTTGAAGCAGTATATATTTTAACATCTTGTATCACATGCACGCGTGACCTATCACATGACTAAAATATACTGGTCCCAACAAACACTGCCATTTTAAACGCTTTAAATATATGCATACAGAAAATTTCCTCAAAAATAGCGTGTAAAAATATACGTCTTAATTTTAAAAGGTGTTATTGTGCGATCCATGAGTTATTATTATTATCATTATTATTTCACTCGTGTATAAGACGACTTTTGTTCAACATACGCTAGATTTCTCCGTTTCTTTCGCATGAGAGGGAAAAAGCACTTTCTATAATCAGAGGGAATCAATCAGATGATTTCGTATAGTCTTTCCAATACATGTGTAAATATACTTGTACAAAATGATATGACCCATAGTTGGAATTATGACGTTGACATATGTTTTCAAGTATGTACTTGTGACTAGTTTGATAATAATTTTACTTGAGCTAAATCAAATTACAAAATATGTATATGTACAGATTTAGGAGAAATATATCTTGCTTGATGAATATATTAAATAATGAAATAATAATGGTCGATTTAATATTTCAATCGGTTTTACAAACTAGGGACATTCCACATCAGCAATAGAAGCTGTTTTTCTGGAAGTTTGAATTTCAGCACACTTAATGACATATCTAAAACAGAATTAGAGTTATACTTTCCAAATGTCACTTTAGTCTGTAGAATATTCGAGTAAGAATATGTACTATGTCATGAGTGAGTGACGGGGGTATTTCAAAAGTGCGGCTTCAGATTGAGTGAAAGATGCGTGTTTTGTTGATCATATCGTTCTGATTTATTGAGAGCGTTTAGGCGAAATCCCGCCAAACAACTTTTTAGGACCTTAAATACTAACTTATAGTCTGTAAATGTACCATAAACTGTCATTTTTTAGTGTTTCATTCTTATATATGTTCGAAAATGTCGGTGTAATTCTTTCACCGTAAGACGGCATCAGTTCGAAAATACAACCATTCATTAACGAATATTATCCTGTCATAGATTAGTGTACTTCTTGTTCGTGGTTTTAAACTTGTCATTTATTCTCATTTTCGGGCAATAAAGCGACAATGAAATATCTTTGTTTTATGCTCAGCCGTTAAGGAAACACGTCATCGTGAATACTCATTACGTCATATCAAACAAACATATTGTTTGTTGTATTAATATTGATTCACAAAATAAAATAATAATAAGTAAATTTATTATAGAACATGAAGAATGTGAGTTTCAAAACAGTTCTAACTTCTAATATGAAAATATGAAAGAGATCTTGGACGGCCATACTGTTGGTTTAAACACAAATGATCCTTATCATGCGAATAATACCGCTTACATTAAATTTGGACAAACCTGGTTGAACCACATATAAAAATATCACAAAAAACGTAGACTTATATAAGTTTTAATATCACGTTATTTATATTTTGATATTAAACTTACACAAATGTATGAAAATGTGCCATTTACATTTAATTGTTCAGTTCAACGAGGAATCTTTGAAATACTTTTCAACAGATCAGGTATATTTTAAATCTGAATTTGTCAAATCACATTCAGTCACACTGGTAGGTTCATTAAGTATGTATATGGAATTTGAATTATCTTATGCAATTGCATGAGTAAATTTATTTGTCGAGAATCAACATAACATATTTAGCGCGTGAATTTGTATGCGTGATTTCATTTCATCACATCGCGCGGTGTTTCTCTTTCACACCTATTTGACATGATGGGGAATATAAAAATTATGTTTATTTTTATGCCCTGTTTTTGATAAACCTTTTGCTGCAGTATGGCAATAATTATACGCTATGCCAGTGACATGCTATGATGTGTTTATGAATATATTCGTCAACACCATGTTAACAGTGAACATAGGTTACAGGACCAAGTAATTCTTTACTCTTGCAAGTTTACCGCTGTTGTTTTCAAAGTTTCACCTGTTATAAAATATACTTGCACACATTCAACTGAACAAGCATTTGTGTATACATCGACATATAAATACATTATTTTCACTAATACATTTCATGTATCACACATCCTTCTCAATCGACCCAATTTTAAGAGGGCCAATGATAGGGGTAATTCTGTTGTATGGGTTACATATACCACATGTATGAGACGTCCTGTATTTCTCACCCAAAGCGTAATAACACACAAAGTAAACAATAATTTATAAAACAGAACTGTTTATTGGTCCTTGTTCAAATGTCATTCATGACAAACATGATATTGTGTATTTGAGAGGTTGAATAAACATCATACGAGATGTTTCAACAGTTGGACCTTTTAAGTAAATGATGCGTTAGATTAATACCATAAATGTGTTTGATTAATTAACCTGAAAGCGTGTTTGTGAGAAGCACCGGTTTCACCTGTACATGGTCGTGCATGTTTAATCGTCACGCATTGTTACCTGGCAACATGCTAGGAGGTCGATTCCGACAAGAGAGATTTTATAGGAACATGATTTATCCACATATCCATAGCAGCACATGGAGTTTTGTCATAAATTTCAAATACACACAACCATGAACTGATTGAAAATGGCATAAAAACTTACTAGGTATGGAATTCGAAAATCACGTTGTCAGTCTGTTTGCATTAACTAAATTATTTTGATATAATATGGATCAATTCGTCATGAGTAATTTTAAGGTGATGATATCATTACGTGGTACTAACACTGCTTTATAGAAAATACTTTTTAAATATGGTCATATAGTATCAGGAATTTACCCTTCTCGTTCGGTGATATTCATAATATTAAATATATATAAATCACATTTCAAGTGTTACACAACAATCGCCTATTTCACACTCAGTGCTTTAGTGTAATAAATGTTTAACATGAATCACCGGGCGAAGTGAGTAAATTTAAATTCATTGATTTTTTAACTCAAAATTTCAGTACGGCTTTCAAAATGGAACCTTTTCTTTTTCTTTTGGGCCATATTTCTTGACATCAAGCATCTGAACTGTCGAAGAAGCGTGGACAAGACGGTCAGATTTTTAACACTGCAAGTCAGTAGACCCTCATAGGACTTATTTAATCGTATGCTTCGTGCCTTACAAGAATGAGATTCTACGTTAGAGTCATTAAAATGAACCAATCTTCTATGAATGTCATTGGGTTCAAAGTGGCTAGAGTTATTGCCCCTTCGGGATCGAGCTTGCGACCTTGCCACCCAAGAGGTCCCTTTTCCAGGCAATGTCTGGCGACCTCGGGTGGTCTCCCCTTTTATCTCACTGCAGACCACTAATGAGAAACCACGCTGCTTAAGGTGATTGCGTCGAGTTTGATCCATGTTATAGGCGATACAGACAGTCATGATTTATAAAGATTGAAAACTACTCTCACAAATATGAGTGGGCCACACACTTGCAATGGTTCATAGAGGTGCGGGAAATACTTGCATGGTGTGTGGCTTGCCAAGGGGACATATCCATTTAATAAAACTACCGTTAGGCACTTAAATAATTACCAAAAGGAATGGGTATTCACCTAATTCTTAGTCGACACACATAGTTTTGGCGTAGATCGTTCGGTATTATCTCGGTTAGGCTTATGAGCGATGGACTGTTGCAGATCCCGTGGCTATGTTTTTTTCTTGGATGTATAGGTAAGCAAACGAACTTTCTTAAATGAGAGGAATCGGTTTCTGTTTATAACATTACTCCTTCTATTAAATCTGATAGTCAATCGGCCCTGATACTCACCTTTCGAATAATATTATTATCAAATCTTGGATCTTATGGAAATCGTGATGTAAAAATGATAATGTGTCTTCAGAGTTAGTGAGTTTAATTTAAATCACGTCGGCAGTATAACGTGTCTTCAGAACAGAGCTCTATTCGTAGGACAATTCAAAACTTTAAATCCGGAACACTCGGGTCTCGAAAGTTGAGTATTGTATACAATGTTCACACATGGTTCTTATAACTAAACCTGCACGTTGGTATCTTTCCTAAAATATCAACAGCTTACCACAAGTATGTTAAACTCTAGCATGTGGCATCATATCTTAAGCAATGTGCGGTCGTGTATTTAATTTTCTTCTTCCTTTAATACAGCCATCGAGTTCGAGATAACGTATGAGCTGATAACAATTCAAACCAACTGGACAAAGCGATAAATCAGGTCCAACTTGTTTCAAAATTTACGTTTTAACGTCACAAAAATGACGTTAGGTAAAAGTGGAACGCACATAAACTCCTTACACCACGTGTAGCGACTCCTGCATCGCTGCTTATAACAGACAGTCTGTTCCTGATTACATATTACATTCGTCAAGTGTGCACAACTGTTTACCAGATGTCTCCCATTCAACATATCTAGCTTGGTATGAAACCCTTAACGAAGGGAGATAACTCAGGTACCTGCCACGCAATGCCGATTGATGTATTCTGGCTATATGCTATCGACTGATTATATTCCCGTACTTTGACAGATATATACATCGCACTGTACTATTGTTTATATTATTTAAATTCATATCTTGATTGTTTTCTTCCATAAGTTTCAAATCGCCTTTGTAAGCTCCGTGTGTCAACAACTTTCAACTATTGTTTTGTTTGGGTGGCGATCAATACATTGTTGTTGTTGTTTTACCTATGTTTTCCATTTCAAAGCAGAATTATTTTATTCAATTTGAATAGAATATTTAGCAGCGGTTATCTTTATATACAAATTAAGTTATGTTTTATGTTGTTCGTTATAGATGTATGGGGCGAGGTGTTAATTATCATTTATATAACATTTGTCTCGATATTCCCATAATGTACTTGGGGTTGGATATCATATGTCCATAACCTTATACTATAATTGTCTGTAATCAACGGGAAACTCGTTGGATATTTACACTTCCGTTAATACTGACGTCTATTTTCATCTTTTTCAGATATATGCGTCTCATCAAAGAAATTGGTGCATCCAAAGTATGGATCGGATTTAAAACGAACTCTGATGAGGGTCATATGCCTATTGATGTATGTATATTCTCTGCAGGGTGCATGTAATTCTCGCAAACTTTGTACTTAGTATCTTGAAAATAAAACTCATACAGTATTAACAGACGTTATATGGAGTTGGTGTATTTAAAATGGCTTTCTGTTATTTGATACCATTTTTATGGACATTAATTTCATCATGAAAACCCGTAGATTTGTGCCCGTTTGTAATTAGACAGAGAATGTGTTAAATTCGGAAATGCCCGAACTCACTATTCGAGTGAAGAACAAAAGTGACAATTAATATTAATATTTTGTTTTAATCTGTAAATAACTATATAAAAAGACACATGTCAAAACTGGTTATTGTCAAAATTAAAATAGCTGAAAGAATATGCCAACAAGTAAAGCAGCAAATGGACAACACATGGTTGTAAACTGAACGATGACACTACGCCAGGCTTTTAAACAATTCTACTGATACAGATATATCGATAACTGTGTGAGAGTCAGTTAACACTACACAACACAGATATTACCAGTGACGGTCGATCTGAGGTATTTTTCTATATGTTTTTATAAATATATAATCTTAAACGAGTTTTAAATTTGACGGCTTAACCAAAATTAGAATACCTTTTACTGCCTATTACCTTTAAAGCAATATGGTTAGGAAACGGACATTAACACATTTTATGTATAACAACATTTGCACAGGTATGGACGAGAAATATAGTAACTATATGCGCTTTTTTATAACTTATGTATGTTTATACACACATACTTGTATCTTTTGGTTCATAAAAGAAACGTTACGCATATCATTTTAAATTTGATAAACTTGAAGACTGAGAAAATTCTGTTGACATATCTCGATATGTATGATATATTCAATACGGAAACAAAATATTTTTCAATATTTCAGATGCGAGATATTTGTTTGAAAATAAAGAATAACGTTTTCGGTGTGCATTTAGGATAGAAGCTAACATATATGTCTTTCTCTGGGTTTCTTTTCTTTCTTTTTTTTGGTTGTTCTTAATTTGCATGGAACTTGAAATTCAGGAAATGTTGTGAAATCTTTAATTCCAACAATTAACAACAGTGCGCAAGAAACTCTTTTGTACTATCGGATATTCTCCTCCCAGCTGACGAAAGCCGCGGAATTAACACCTAACACACAACAAAATTCTTTTAACCTTGTAAACAATGGCATTGTTCGAATCCAGAATCTAAGATCAGACATAAAAAAAATTTACGATTGATAAAACTGATTGTAAAGAATTGCTGGACATCAAGTCAAGGGAGCAAGAGATACCGGATGACCACAACAAAGATTTGAGCAAAGGACGTAAAACTGACAATAAAGCGCCCCCTATTGTTTAGAAACGGATTCAAAGATATAAGACACCCAAAAGTTAAAATTGGCGTGGGGAGACTGGCCTCCATTGTCCAGTTTCGGACAGTCCGGCAATGGGTCAGAGCACAGGTATCAGAAGGCCCCTTGTCTCAACTTTTACGATCGTTTCATGGCGCATCTTCCATGACGGATCTGCCTCTAATGAAACGAAATTGCTAGACATCCCCGCGAACATATGGCTTCAAAAGACAATAAAATGACCATTTCAGAAAGAATTTCAACAGTGAAGGACCCTAATGAAGCCTGCGTTCATGCCTAGCGTTCTGTGACAAGGTGAATTACATTCGTTTGATACGTACAATCTCCCCTCTCGTGATTGGGAAAGTACTTTTCTTGCATAACCCGCTACTTAAGAAACTAAACATAAAAGTTTCATCTATAACAAAATTTAAATTACGAGAGTAATCAGATTGTTCTGACCGTGAGGGAGCTATAAGCAAAGATTTGTGTGACCTTCCAATGACTTCTTAGCATTATTGAAGTTTCGTGCAACTATTTCGATTTCCAAGGACAACGAATTGAACTTGAATTCATAAAAAATCCCGTCCAAGTACCTTTCGGTGTTGTTTCCCGTTTTTCAATGATCGGATGATATGAGATTTTGGATTTAAAAAAACAAGTTTAATTGTGGACAGCTAATAAACAAAGAATCTTGTCAAATCACGCGAACAAATTAAATTCCTAAATGTGTAATTATGCTAAGTATGTGCGCTATTAAAATGTTTAGCGTGATCCTTTATTTCCGAGTTTCCAATAACAATGGTAATAGATTTGAAATTAATTTGCATATTGTATTTTGTAGTGATGACAAAGAAACGTCTTATTAAACAAGCCGTTATACGTAATTCGTTTTGGTTTCACTTGTCCGTATTTCAAACATAATAAAAATAAATCCGATCAGGAAAAAGTAATTCGTAACAAATTTTTAAATCAGTTATGAAAGTTCCCTTCACACAAATAGATTGTTTTCTTGTAAACTGTGTAAATTGCAAACAAATATCGGAGCGGGTATTCAATGTTCTATTGCAGAAATATTGTTTACTACTTTAGAAAACTACGTATCTATAACAAATCGCACAGAACAGACAGCCATGTCATTTATAAGTCAAGTAAATAGATTATACCCTAGACATATATACATGGGGATTGCACTAAATGTATGCTTGAGTAGTTTTCATCGAATTGGAAAGGTATACCTATTACTAAATTTATACATTAATACGCGTTGACAGTAACAGCAAAGATCCAATAAGTATATATCTGTTTCTATTTGTATACATTTATTATATATATTCTTTTTTACATAATAACTATATTCATAGACCTGTAAATTATAGATGTTTTAAACCAAAATTGGTTCCTGGAAATATTATGTGCGCAAACCTTATAAGTAATTTCTCATTTTAGTCGTATTTTGTTTATATTATTTTGTATAAGATGTACATTTCTGCCCAAGGTTTGCATGACAGATAAATCCCTATAATATAGAAACTATTTCATATCCAAAATGTAAGTCATAACATGCGTGCCATGATTTGATTGGCGCAAAACTTGTATAACCGTTCCTTTACATGGAACGGAACACAAGCATACCGCGGTGGAGATATTCATTGGTTTAACCAGTCCATCACTCATGGTGCTAGTGATGGCCCATCTCATCACACCTGCAATAATTCCAACAAGATGTCACGTCTAAGTGCCTATATCAGAATTTACAGAAGGAAGCACAAACACCGACAAAGATTGCAAATAACACAAATCATGAAAGTTGTCAATTTCGATCTTGTCATAAACCGTGTCAATATACATCTTAAGGGAGTGATCTTAAACTATGGGATTAGGTCTAAATGTTGAGGTATTGATCAGGCCTAATTTATTCATAGGTTTGTATTGCCTATTCATGGGCCTAACCTGTTTGCAATAAATGATTGATTTTCCTCGTTATTGTGATCGATTAGATATATTTATAGCTTAGTTTGTCATCAAAGAAACGCTTTGATTGGTTCCTGTTTGTTTTCGCGATCTATTCGACAGTGAGATTTTTATGAACTAATTGGTTATGTTCATTAGTAGCTTGAAAGTTTTAAGTTTTTATGTGTGAAATGTATCTATTTAACTGTGTTCTATAAATTCGGACACTTTAAAAACATAACTGAGTAACTTTCATTCATGGCTTATCCACACGAGTTGGTTTAGTTGTCAGGGGAGTCGTATCATCACACGCGTGATAATTAAACGCTTTCAAAGGAGTGAAACAATATTTCATAAAATTCATTTCATGACCTGATAGACAATATTGCTATAAAAGCTGCATAAAAGCCCTTTACATTTAAACCAAATTTTGTGATTACTTAACTTATGATTTGTTTTAGATATAATATATTTGTAATAGTACGTAGTAGTAGTATATTTGTAGCATTTGAAATCTATTCTTGTTTCATTTCTATGTAAACTCTATTTTACCAGTAATTGTGTTGCTGCTTCTATTAGGTTTTGGACACAACAAAATGCACAACAAAATTATGAACATGAAAAACTGTGAAAAATGTCAGATAAACCGTTAATGCGAAGCCTATGGATACATACAATATCAAACACGCGAATACAAGGAATGACCCCACCTCCACCCCACTGGACGGTGTCCGTAGGGATTCAAAGCCCCAAACTCCGATGCTTGTCTGCCTACAGACCCAACAGCACAGACATAGGTGGCAGACACGCGTTACAGGGCTGATCATTACAGATGTGTTGTTGTTGTTGTTGTTGTTGTTGTTGTTGTTGTTGTTGTTGATGATGTTGTTGTAGTTGCATTCTCACCTCAGCCACAATGCTTATCAAACATAATGAGAAATCATTTGAACCTCTTCACATGAATTTGCGAGAGAATATGGTACAATAATTCAAAAACAAAAGACAGGTAAGACACTACCTTAAAATATATACAAAATAATTCCTATGAGATATTTGTTTTCTAAAATCCAATATCATTTGCATGGTTGGGCATTTTCATTTGATAAAAGTTGGTGTGACAAAATATAAGGCATGTTTCATATATTAAATTGGATCATATATGAAAACATCACAGCACGCGATTTTTAAAACATATTTCCGGATATTTATAACCTCTATTGGTGAGGCGATCGATATCAGCCAATGTATCATCGAATCCCGAAGCCCTGTCTTGATGCTCGTGTTATCAACCATTTGTCTGAAAGTTAAATGTTCGATTACGTCCAAGGCATCTTGATGGAAAGGGAACACCAGAAGCATATATTCATTCACCAGGTGAAGGATCCAGTTTCATTTAACAGCATTACTTCACAAAACCTTTACATGCAAACCATTTTGAGAAAATGCAGGTTGAATAAATAAATGACAAATACCTCACGAGAAACTTGTTCGCCTTTAAATTATGTAAATTTCGCTTTTAAAAATATTATTATGAAGTTTATTAATTAAACCACGGATAGACGGACATCAAGAATTTCCTGACTTAAGTAATGATCCAATGTATCATTTTTCTCGACAAAACATATAAAGTTCTCGACACAAAATATACATTGAGCAGGCTCAACACCGTCTTTTTTAAACTCCCGTATCATTAAATAACAGGACGATGTTATAACAAAAATCAAAGATGATGATGTAAGTACAGAAAACATGTCTTGATATACCAACGCGACCACAAGGTAAACACAGGCT